GGAGATCCTCTGCTGTCTTTGGTGGTAACTACCTTAGATTACAAAGGAATAAAAACCCATTCCCCTCTCGCTTAGCGAGGTAAATCTATAGCATTATTGAGGCATGCTGAGCATATTCGGTTTTAACATGAATGAAATTTGCAGGAGAGGGGTATTAATGCTGATTGCTTACATAGTATTAAATACTGCTCACTGAAAAATATCTTCTGAAAACAATTCTGGGTTTCCTGCTTTTCATTGCTTGTATGACTTGAGATATGTTTTCTGTTTTTCAACTAATCCAATGTCTTTTCTGTCTAATGCTCTTAAATGTCTTGTTCTAACTTCCTAAGGACAGTGGGTAATAAGGTGAGGGCATTTTAACTTTTCTGCTGTTTTTCTTATTGCAACATTATTTATGTCTTTATTTTAGCCTTCTGCCTGTTGTCCAATCATTCCTTTATTTAGTAATGTGCAATCCATCAAACTCGTTCCCAAATGTAATGTGCTGTGAGCATTTTGCAACACTTGACATGTGAAAAATCTGGCTTATATTGGTGAAATGTCTCTAGAAATGTCTTTGTCCTCTAGATGAGACATCCATTTTTTTCTGTATTGCACATCTAGAAATGTATGTTCCCCATAATACAGTTCTTACTTCTGTAACCTACCTCACTGTGACCTTGACAGGTGGCTACAAGAACAGGCTTCTGACCATTAGTACTCTCCTTCCATATGGCCTGGAGCTATTGTCCAGAAGCACAAACTCTCTTCTGTGTAATAACAGTTACTTCTATTCTTGTCACCAGATCTGCCATGGCCAGGATTTGGAAATGAACATGCTCAGTGTGGCCTCATAAATTCTAAGTATCATCGTTCAAGTTAGAAATAATAAAATAGTTATTGCATCTTAATGGACTCCTCAGGGGCACACGAAGCTACAGTATTGCCATGAATCTGTGTCTTCATTCACTGACGTTAAGAGTGAGAGCTGTCACTGCTACCTCAGAAATTCTAGCCAGCATTCATCAGTAAAATGTGCAAAAAAATCACAGGCTGGCAGGAAAAAAAAATTGTAAAAGCCCAAGAAAAACCCCAAAAGTAAAATACTTACATGAAACTGTTCTTGGGAGCAAAATGATACTGCATGCCTCACGGATTTGTGATCACACTGGTACAACCTACATTAAGATATTACATCCAGAGATTTCTGTCCGTCTTGCTCTCTGTTTTGTCTGTCACTCTATCTGTCTGAGTGTTTCAGTTTGTCAGAGAAATTGTCCCATTCTTTTACGAGAACTTCATGAGTATAAAAAATAAATCAAGCCCATGTTTCCCCACAGCAAGAACTCTGCTATAGCAGCAGGGAACACTGTCTGTTAAGAAAGAAGCTATTGCAGTGGTTTATATCCCCGTAGATTAGCAGGCTGTACTGTGTACTTAAATTCTTAAACTTAAATTCTTAAATTCTAATGTAACGAAGGATTTGATTCAGTAGATCATTGCCTTCTTGATTCAGGGCAGAGATGGTGTAAGTTAGAGCGTCCTGCTAGGGTCACAGGATGTTGATAATATGATACAGTATTTTTGCACTGATGCTTTGTCCCTGTTTTATTACATTCCAACATTTCAGGCCAACTGCTGCTCGTAACAATGAGCCTTAAGCTTGGAAAATACTTACATTCTTTAGCCACAAGTCTAATTAAAAAAAACCAAATTCCAGTGTTGTTGGAGTCTTGTTTGTTTGTTTGTTTGCTTGCTGCAAGCCTAGCAGTGTAAATTAGACCTCGTAACGTGGCTGAGTTCTGATTTGGTTTATTGACCTGCAGTTTCAATTGGGAACAGCACATACCCAAAATAGAGTATCCATACATACATGCTCATGAATGACGTGAAGTGATAGAAGCAATTATAGGAATAACTGAAATAAATGTCTCATAGATATAATGTATACTATCAGCAAGATATAAAGTGGATTTTAATCTTGAGTTGTGCAATGGCATTCATTGTAGTTAAAATCAATATTCTAGAAAGCCTCTTAATGAACGATCACCATCATCATTTAATGCTAAACTTTTCTTTACATTTGGTTTTCTTTGGCTCCGTTTAGATCTGCATTTGCTGCAAGTTCCTTGTTAACATCGTTTGCTTAATCCTCATGTTCTTTTTTTTCTTACTTTACTCCAACAGACATCTCAGCCAAGCCCTGGTGGTCAGTCTACATGCAGCAGCGAACAGTCCCCCATCAGCAACTATTCCAACAATGGGATCGAGCTTACTCTGACCAGTGGTGGTAGTGTAGGAGACCTCAGTGTCATCGATGAAACCCCAATCATGGACTCTACCATTTCCACAGCCACCACAGCACTTGGCTTACAGGCCAGGAGGAATATGACAGGGACCAAATGGATGGAGCAAGTGAAATTAGAAAGGTTGAAACAAGTTAATGGAATGCTTCCAAGACTGAACCCCGTTCCACCTTCCAAAGCCCCGACCTTGCCGCCTCTCATAGGAAATGGTGAGATACACATAGCGGGAGTGGTAACACTTTCTGTCTGTAAATTCGTTGCTTGCTAGCACAATTTTGCAACCCTTGCAAAACAGTAGTGCAGCTTATGAAACTCAGCAGCTGTGAGAATGGTTCGTAAATTGATCACTTTTTGTTTATCCCCTCATTACAAGTCCTACTACCCACCCTGAGAGAAGTCAGGTAGTCCCATGTTTTACAGAACAGGGGCCAGCAGGGAACCATGTATCATGTTTGAAATATTCCCTACAGTTAAAGGTTTGGACCCAAGACCATCATAATCCTGTCTTGTTTTGAGGCAAGGCAGGTGAAATAAATCCCTGCCAGTTTATTGTATAGAAGTCTTTCAGATGAGGCCTTAACAAGGGACCGTTGCATAGATGTGTTGGGCTGCCCTTTAAATAAACTGTTTCCACACATATAAGTAATCGTATCTACAGATACTACTGCTACAAAGGACAGATATCCATGAATGGGAGCAAGGCAAGATTGAACCCTGAAGATCCATAGTTGTTTTCGTACAAGGTGCTGTTCATTGCCAAAATGTACGTCCCTGCTGCCTCTAGATTGCCTACAGTGTGCCCGCAGGTTTCTGCACTCCACCCAGCAGCGACAGCCCAGGTTTTCTGAAACCCGTTCAATCGAAAGAAACTATGTAAATTAAGGAATTTATTCTGTTTACTTAAAAACAAAACAAAACAAGGAAACCAGCAAAGATGTTTTGCAGTTGTTAGGACTTATTTCAAGAATATTTCAAGAAGTCTTAGAAATGACCTTGAATAGCCTCCAATTTGTATATTTTGCCATTCCACACAAATGCCAGTTGAATTATATTTTGCCTATTAAAAGCTCCCTTACGAATGTGTCCTTCTGGCACATCAGCGAGCATAGCTGCACTGCAGGCCAGAGGACTACACCAGCTGATGACAGTTTGTGGCTATGGCTTATAAATTCTGTGCTGGGATTCACACTGAAATGTTACCCTTGAGTCTCTGAATTAGCTTTTAACCTAAGGACACAGTTTTTATCCCTACTTCTTTCAATAAAGACCACTGCTATGATTTGCTGTGATGATGCAGGCTTTTCCTCTATACTCCCCTTACTTTTATACTGGATGTTTTCTGTACCAGTTTCTGGGTGATGCCCGTTTGTTTAACTGTGAATTTTACCTCCAGGTACGCAGTCGAACAGCAGCTGCAGTGTAGGAGGATCCATGACTATTCTGCCAAACAGGAACGAACTTTCAGGTACGGACATCACTGTGTTGAACATGCTGAACAGGAGGGACAGCAATACTAGCACAATCAGTTCAGCCTACTTGAGCAGCCGCAGGTCCTCTGGAATCTCACCTTGCTTCTCCAGCCGGAGGTCCAGCGACGCCTCCCAGGCAGAGGGAAGACCACAGAACGTGAGTGTTGCAGACTCCTATGACCCCATCTCAACGGATGCCTCCCGGCGCTCCAGTGAAGCGAGCCAGTGTGATGACCTGCCAAGTCTTCTCAGCCTCACCCCAGCCCAGCAATACAGGCTGAAAGCTAAATATGCAGCAGCTACTGGTGGACCCCCACCAACTCCACTGCCTAACATGGAGAGGATGAGCCTCAAAACAAGGATGGCACTCTTGGGTGACTGCAGGGAGTCTGGAGTATCTCCACTGCCTCCAGTGACTGCCCCTCGAAGATGTAGTGATGGTGGGGCAAATGGTTACAGCAGGAGGCATTTTCTGTCTCATGATGCTCTAGGAAATGGGACGAGAAGAGCCAGTGATCCGGTAAGAATGGCCTCCGACAACCTCTCTGTCCCTAGAGTCCAGCGTTTCAACAGTCTTAATAGCTTTAACCCTCCTGCTTTGCCTCCATCCATGGAAAAGCGCAACCTTGTTCTTCAGAACTATACCCGTTCTGAGGGTGGCGTCTTCCGTGGCTTCAGCTCCCCCTGTCCTCCGAGCATCAGCGAGAATGTCGCCCTGGAGGCTGCTACTATAGAAGCGGGTGGCAGTCTGAATGATGAGGATCTCTTGCCAGATGATGTGGTTCAGTATCTGAATTCCCAGAACCAGGGCATGTACGACCACTTGTTGAACAATGTCCTAGACAGCAACAAAATGCATCACAGCTCAGTGTTAGGAAACAACAACCCCAGCAACTTTGACCAAGCACCTCCACCAAGCAGTCAGCAGGCAGGCTCCGAGGCAAACAAGAGCGACTTGCCCATTCAGTGGAATGAAGTAAGCTCAGGAAGTTCTGACTTGTCTCCTTCGAAACTGAAATGCAGTCAGCGCTCAGCGGTGCAGCAGACTCGGGCCTTC